ATTAGCCACCAATGTTTCAAAAATCAATGACCCCACAAAAAAACCCAGGTTTCCAGTTGCTCTCAGAAACATGAAGACCTGGCCACACAGGACCTACGGCAACACGAGCCCCCAGGACACGCACGACACATGTCCTCTAGTCCCCGACACGGCCAGCGGGTGCCTCGCAGGAGTGCCCGCCCCTCAGGGTCCTGGCACTTTGAACCTGAGGCCAGCCATGGTGAGGGTGGAAGTCACGCACAGGGCTCGGTGGGCTTCTCTGGGCTCAGAGGAACCCAAGCTCCTTCTTCAGCAAGTGATTGTGCAGGGAATAGGCCCCACCCCTACTCACCCTAGGGGTCACCCAGGGTGGGGCCCTTCTGGATGGATAAGTAGGGTAGCCCCAGACCTTGGCTGCGGGCACCCTGTGCGCTCAGCCCAGGGGGCTGTGGCCTCTGCTCTCTCCTGCCATTAGCGCTGGTGCCCAACAGTTCTGTCTTCCCCCTTAAGTGGCAACCAAGCACTGCAGCCAACACTCCCTGAGCAGAAAGGCCTTGGAAGGCAGTGGCTACGCTGTGCAGGCCTGGCCCGCCTGTGACCAACCCAGACATGAGCACGCACGGGGCCCACGGGGCACAGGTGCCCACACTGCCCCTCAGGTGGGGAGGATTCCAGGGGAGTGGGAAGGAGGGGCGCCTGAAGCCTCACCATCCTCAGGGCATGACAAGGGGACAGTGGGAATTCGAGGGGTCAATGACAAGACCTCAGAGGCACCTTCAGGGGCATCTAGGAAAAAATCCCTTCCCGAGCGAGGGCTCCGAGAAACAGGATGGGAGGAGCCAGCCCAGCAAGGGGGCTGCCAGGGTGGCCTGGAGGGCAATCATGGCACGCTGGAATCCCCCCAAGCTGCATAATGCAGCAAGCTGTGTCCAGGCTGCACGCCCCCCTCCCTGGGCCGTTCTCCTGCGGCTCAGCCAGGACGTCACGAGCGAGAGGCAAGCACAGATGTGCAGAGAACCACCTGTCGGAATAAACCATTTCCCGCACGGCACATGCTTGTCTGTTAAATTACAAACACTGATGCTGTTATAAAAATAATGGCACAGCACTTTTTATTTCCTTTAATCAGAAAAATAAGCCCCACGTTTCTGGGAGGGAGACCTTGGGGCCCTGCTCTGGGTGCCAGGCTACGGGGCAGACACCACGTCTGGCTCGTCAGGACCCCGGGAGGCCAGGGAGGAAGGCCTGGACCCAGAAACAGAGGGGCCCCTCTGTGGCCTCCACGAACCGGGCCAGTACCGGAGGTGGCTGTCATGGCTCCGTGAGACTAGGCGCACAAAGCGCTGACTGGGAGCCTGGCCAGGGCGCCCCCTGTGGCCGGTGCTGCTTGCCCACCACGTGCCCGGGGCTCCAGGAGCACTGGTGTGGGGCTGCCCTGAGTCAGAGGCCTGGGGCGAGGGATGGGTGACCTTGAGCACAGGTGTGAGGTGGGTGGGGCAGAGAAAGCCCTGCAGTGCGGGGTGTGTCCCAACAGGGGACATCATAGGGGGCCAGCAGTGGGAAAGCTGTAGGAAGGGGACATTCTGAGAATGGCCTCGGGTCCTGCAGGCTCTCTTGGTCCAAAGCTAGGGGGGACGTGAGACTCTGCCCCCCACTTCAGCGCTCAGCCTCTGGGGTGGAGGCAGAGTCCTGAGGGAGACCCTCCTCGTCACCAGCAGTTCAGACTCAACCACAGACGGCCCTAAGCGCCCCTCACGCCCCCTCCCCCGCCACAGGGCCCTGGAGGTGGACACACATCACCCTCTGCCTGAGGGAAGGTAAGCGGGACCTGAGGCCCCGCTCCAGCTGTGCCTACATCCTGCCGGTGGGGGACTGAGTAGGGCCCAAGGAGGGCAAGGCTCCCCTCCAACGTACACGCACACACTCCAGACCACATGCCACATACGTTCACACACAAACTCGCACTCAGCGCAGCTGGGACAGGTGTACGTGGGCACCTCAGAGGCACAGAGAGATGCTGAGGGCCCCCCCAAGTCTGAGCCTCAGGGGGTGGCTGTGTCCCCTCTCCCCGGGGCATGCGCGTCACAAAGCAGTGGGCACGGCGGGGGTGCCGTGGCGGGGAGGTGGGAAGCCGCTGCGGGTCCTCTCCTCTCTTCCTGGCGTGGGCAGGCCTCAGCTTGGTGGCAGCCCTGCAGGGGGCTCCTGCCTCTGCTGAGCCTCAGCTTCCAACTGCCAACAGCCCGGCCTGCTTGGAGAAGGCCTCCGGCCAGTCTGACAGCGCATCTCAGGTGGCAGGGTGAGGGGCCTCGGCCCCGCCCTGCACAGCCACACCTGCGGTGGTCTGCCAAAATGGGTGTCAGGCTCCGGGGCTCACAGACGGGGCCTGGCGGGCCACTGCAGGGGCAGAGGATCGAGTCCGTCGTGACCTCAGGGGCCGGCAGGGTTGGCCCAGGGCCAAGAGTGAGAGCTGGGGCTGATGGGCCCGAACCAGGTCCAGCAGGGACTGCCGTGGCGGGCTTGGGGGCCCCCAGGAGAGGCCTGCGGGGTGGGGCTGGCCGGCCCAGGAGTGACGGGCGCTCGGGTATGGGGAGTAATGGCTGGGGCTTGCAGGGCTGGCTTGGGCCAAGAGTGACCGCAGGGGCTGGCAGGGCTGTTTCGGGCCCATAAGTGGCCGCTTTCGTCGGCACGGCTGCTCTGGGCCCAGGAGTGGCCGCTTGGGTGGGTGAGGCTGTTCTGGGTCCATGAGTGGCCGCTTTTGTTGGCACGGCTGTCCGGGGCCCAGCAGCGAAGACTTGGTGGGGCCAGGCTGCTCTGGGGCTTCAACTAATTGCTGGGGCTGACTGAGGCCCAGCAGCGACCGCCGAGGGCGGCTGGGCTGGCCCAGGAGGGACCTTCGGGGTTGGCCCAGGGCTAGGGATGCTCGCCGGGGGCAGCAGCACTGGCCTGAGAGTGAGCTGGTGGGCCGGCGACGTGGACGCAGCATGAGGAGTGACTGTGGGGGCTGGCACCGCTGGCACTGGGCTAGCAGTGACCGAAGGGGCCGGTACCGCTGCCCCGAGGATGCCCTGCTGGGCTGGCTGCGGAGACGTGGGGCCATCCACGATCGCGTGGGCCAGTAGCGGTGCCAGAGGGCCAGCAGGGACCGACACAGGTGGCACGGGGCCAGGATGGACCGCAGGGGCCGGCAGCGGTGCCATGGGGCCAGGATAGACCGCAGGGGCCGACAGAGGTGACAGGGGGCCAGGATGGACCGCAGGGGCCGGCAGCGCTGCCACGGGGCCAGGAGGGAGCGCAGGCGCCGGCAACGCTGCCTGGGGGCTAGCAGTGCCCAACGTGGCTGGTGGGGCTGAGCCAGGAGTGACCG